ATCTTATAAAGAATGATTTCGAAAGTTGGAAACATAGATACATAGATAAAGTGTGGTCTTGTTGTGCAATTACTTCATGTTGCTTTTCGGTGGTAGAATCCCCCCCAGCCCCCTTCTTCCACTGAAAATAAAACTGTGATTTAACTCATAATCATATTATAAAGTCAAACTTTCAAAGACTTAAATGGAACTAATTTCAATGAGCTTTACTGACTGTCTGAAAAATACTTTTGCATAACAGTCACTTGGAGTTTTATTTCTTTTTTTATTTCCTCTTTTTGCTACTTCTACACAAACTTGTGCAGTTTGTTGTTTAAAATGTGCTTGTTGTGATGGTTTTGTGAAGGTAGTTTAAAAAAGATGTGATTGAAAATTATACTATTATGAGAGCATTAGAGCTAAGCTCTAAAAATGAACCATGTCTTTATACTAAATCCACGGGAGAAAAGAGAATTAGCAGCTGTGAAGTGATGCGTGTCCTGTGTGTCGTGCTAAACTTACATTTCACATTAATGGAACCTGTAATCTGTGATGTTGTGAGACGTGTGCGACTATTAAACGTGCCTGTGTCTTCCCTCTTTTTCTCTGATTTGTGTAAATAAAAAGGATGACAGTTTGGAATCAGAGTTATTTGTCATAACCTGGGTGTCCTCTTTTTTTCCTTCATTTCTGCTAATATTATTTTTTTCCCATTGGCTATCATCCGATATGAAAAAAACTTAACCAAACCGACCAAATTACTGCCACAAGATTACAGGCTGTATACGAAAGAAAGAGGTAGCCATCACCCATGATGATGTCACCCATTTGTTTTTGTTTGTTTGTTTTGTTTTAGATGCTGTAAATAACATAGTCATGTTTTTTATGCTGGGAGTCTTTAGGGACTAATTTGTTTTTAGAGCCAGACTCACTAGAAGAACTGTAGGTTTTGGGTCTGAACACCATTGCAGGAGTCCTAGGCTACGTCTACACTAATCCAGATAAATTGGAAAACGGCGTTTTGGTCTAATAACGCTCCGTGTCCACACTATCTTTTTCAGTTGTTTTCTTCCACACTGAAAACCCTACGTTCCTGTACTGTGCATGTGTGAAAAGTAATACGATTGAGCTGGGTCATTTCTGTCTGCCATTTATTTACTTTCTGGTTCTTTGAAAAGTCAAGGAAAAGTGCTGAGTTTTATCTGGAGCTATCTGGAGCATTTACAAACTGATATTAATCTTTATAAAGGCTGTCAAAATTGAGAGCAAACAAAACAACTGCTGCACAATGCCGTCCGCCATCTTAGTTGAATTGATCACATGACTGCAACGCTAAAACGGTGTCTTCAAATGTATCCACTTTGGAGAGCGTTTACAAAAAGGTCTGTTTTCCTTGACCAAAAACGACGTCTCGGTGTGGACGGAAGGCCAAAACGGAGCGAAAAAGATGCATTTTCAAACAAAAACATATTAGTGTGAACACGGCCTTAGACAGCAAGCTGAGGTTGCTTAAGTCACATACAGATAAGTGTTTGAAAGATTGTAATCCAGTTTACCAGCCAAAAGCAATTTACTTCACATTTTTAACGAGAAGAGTTATTTGCTGTAAGCATTAGGATGTGTGCAGTCCTCTGTCCTGTTACAGACTTATCACTCAAAAAGTGCTCCCACAAAAGAGTTTAGACATAAAAATAAGAAGTAAATAGACTTTCTACTTGAACTATATAGACTATAATCCTACTTAGGTAGAAGCTTAGTAGGTTAATATTTTTCAAATTGTATAATCAAAATGATGACGATCATTTTGGCTAAGAGCCCATGACTGACGGGGGCCCTAGAAAACAGCAGAAAAAACATTATTAACCTGTCTCCATAAAATAATGTTTGCCTCAAGGTCCTTAGAAACATGTTTGTTTCCTGGCATTACTTTTATTTTGGTTTTGGCAACAACGTGGCCTCCGACTGCCTCACCCCTCCTAATTCCCTGATTTGGTTTGGTCCAGATGCACGCGCTCCTAGCTGATGCCGAGCAGCAGCGGTAAGAGGTTTGGGAGACAGGTTTTTATTCTACAGACTTATTTATTGTGTTATAATAATACATTATAATTATAACCTATCCTGTTTATATTTTGTACACTGCCTGGGACTGTTGCATGTGGTGAGAGAGTTTTCAGTGATCCAAAACTGATTAAAACCTATTTGAGTTTCACAGGTTTCAGGACAGACATATTTTATTTGGCAATACTTTGTTTGAAAGTTGATATCCAAATGAGTATTTAGGTTATATTTGACAATACTCAGTATTATAAATAAAAATGTTTAAACAGTACACCATTTTATAGATGAGAATTTAAATGTATTTCCATCTGTATTTAGTGTACAATTAAAAAAAAGATTACAAATCTGATAACATTATCATTCAAAATAGAGAAAGATCCAGGCGCTTCGTCTCCGATCATGGTACTGCAAACACGTCCTGAACATCATCTTAAAGTCTTCTCTCTCAGAGGGTTTTTCTGTCTTAGCTGATGGGAAAACACCTCCCAACACCTGCAGAGCTGTTACACCCTCTAGTGGATAAAAAAAAAACATGTACCTGGAGGTTAAAAGGTAGAAACCTGAAAAGACCAACTCTGTCCAGTTCACTGGATACTGCACAGAAGAACCTTTTATTCTGTTTGTAGGGACCTTCCTACTGCGATCTATTTAACCAGACATAACAAAACTATTGTACAGACTAAAGTTAAAGGACCTTTTTTTTTTTTAAAACAAAGGTTAATAAAATCTGTCTTCAAACACCAGTCAGGTGCCCCTGTATGAACATTAAGACTTGTCTGTCTTGCTATATTTATTCGTCTGGTTCACAGTGGCCATTATGTATTAGCTCGCCGTACACTGGCTATCATCCAAAGTTTCTGCTGTTTTGCTGCAAAGTTTTTTCTTTCTGTAAGTGCAGTTCATCAGGGGAACACTAAGTGCGATTTATAACTGTTTCAAACCCTTTATATATACAAAAATCAGCCTATCTGAGAAACCCAGGCACTTCTGCCCATACCTACATGCAAAATCCCACCTCGTGTCTTTCAGCCTGGCATTGGAGCAGGTGATCAGGAACCACGGGGCCTCTGTTGATGCTGGTGGCATTTAATGTAAACATGACATCATGCCTGGTTGTTTATAATGTAACCCTCTGATCGAGTTACACATGTGCCTTAATGGGATTTGAGTCAGTGTTATCAAAGGCAACACAAAAACAAGAAATGCAAGTCCAGATGACTCAGATCTTGAATGCAAGGGCTTCCTTGTGTCCTTTTAGCATGAAAGACTGTATGACGGCACAAACTGACATCTACTTATTGATGGAGGTGAGTTACACTCCTGCATTTCCAGGTTACGTTTGCCTCGTGTCGAGCAGCAGTGCTCATATCTCTGTTTACACTGTACACACTGCATCCAAAATCAATTATCTGCTTTACATTTAGTCAAAGTAACCAAGAACTGCTACTGTTTAGAGTAAATACACTCTATGGAGGAGGAAATATCAGATATATGTGGGTAGAGAAGAAGAAGAAAGAAGTTAATTCAACACATTACTGTCAGAGGAAACATGGAAAAGAACCAGATCCTGGGATTAGCTGATGGGTATCTGAAACCACTAGAGGAGTACAGAGCTGAACTTAATGGGGAGGATATGGAGAGTGCTAATGGTGGAACAAGGGAAAGCAAAGGCAGTCCGAACCTGCTGCAGATGCTAAAAGCGGCAGAGAGGAGGAGGGCGCAGCAAAGTCGGGACAGAGACAGGTTAGAGGTATCCAAGGTTATGGCGAAAGAACCGGTTACTGAAGCGCTGAAGACTACCATGGTGAGCAGAGACAGCGTTTTCACTATCACTATAAAAGTGCTAGGCCCACATAACATCACACATGCACCTGTGACTACACCACGGGGAGCGTGAATGTGCATCTACTCAAGATGTTAATGATATTTAGTCGCCATGAATGTTTGACCAGTACGCTCACGCAAATACTGCACTTGCTTTCCCTTTCTGAAAATGTAAAACGAGAGAGCTAACAAACTGACTCGTGTCATGTCTGATGATTGCAGCATTAAAAGCAGGACCTCTGAATAAATGTTTGTGAAAGAAGGATAAAACATCTTAACGTTTATGGGAACTACTCGTGGGAAGTGTGGGCAAATAAAAATGGCAGATCTTTTTCAGTTACTTAGTACATTTGGCCCTTCCCTGCTCTGACATATCCAAATGTCTCTTTTAAAAAGCATATATATATATACATACATATTTCATTCTTGTGTCACCACAAACCTGGGAGCCTATCAGAGATACACCTATGTACAATCAGAAATGGGCAATATATCCTGTTCTTGCTGCCGATCAAGCTCCAAAAATATTGAATCCCAAAGTTCCTATCATGGCCTCAGTTTTGTTTTAGGTCCTGTGACTTTACAGAGCTGCCCTGTAGCCACAGAAAACAATAACCAACTGTTTCTGCAGGCTCTTGTCTTTTCCGTCACAGTTTAAATCAGTCAAATGCCACTCTAAGAGACTTCAGTAACACTGCAGTGCTGCTTGGTCATTCTGTGGACAGAAAACAATGAATTCATGCTCTATTGTCACATGGCCTCTCATGCTTACCTCTGTAACCCTTTTGTTAAGAATAATGTTCTTTCCTCGTGACCAGTTCTTCTGTCGTTTTTCTTTATGTTGCAATAACTGTCATTACGTTGCAAAACTGTCACCTCCCTGCTGTCTGTTTATTTTAAACTATTTTCATCTGTGGCCTCAAAAAGCACTCAACTGAGATTTTCTTTCCTTAAATCTCGCTCTTCATCTTTGTAGTTCCTGCTGTCTGTATTTTCTCAGAATCACACACAGAAAGCCTCACAGAGGTCACATTTCTCACTTCCACCTTCTTTTGTCACCTGTTTGGTGAGGGAGTGGCATCAAGCGTCACTTGAACAGCATCGGCTTGCAGCTCTGCAGGGTTCATGAGAGTCACTGTGCTAGCATGAAGAAAGCGTATAATCTAGTGAATATATCTAAGGGCAAGAGTGAGGAGGCGGTGCAGTCCATCTGTATCAAGGTATCACAACTTTTCTTTCTTTTACAGAGGGCAGCGAGTCGAGGACTTGATGTGTAATTACAATTCAAGCTTTTTTAAGATTAGAGGGTTTAAGCAACATTACATTGGTTATGTTGGTCTTTGTCGATTGCACTGGCATAGAGGAAATGTGTGGTTGGACACAAAGAGAGAGATATTTTACACATTAAGATGTAATTCTGAGATTTATTTGAAGAGTATCTGTGCAGTAGCTGCTTTGAATTTGAATGTCCACCTGTACCTCATTAAGTTAACTTTCACACTGCTCCAAGTCAAAGGTTAATAGCTTTTGTGTTAATGATTGGTGGCTTGTGTAAGTGGCAGCTATTTTTGGAAGGCGGTATTTAAGTGATTTTACGAAACACAAGGTTTTCTTATAACCATGTGTTTAAAAAAAAGCCCCCAGACTTTAAAATACAGCTTTATTTATATTTATTGGTGACTTTTTAATATAATTTATTTTTGTTTGTACCTGGTATTACTACACCCCATGTACAAAAGCCCTGGGCCACTTACAGGAAGTGCTTGGTCAGTTTTTATGGTGATGTTAATGCCTGGGGAGGTTTGAACTCTGCAGTTGTTGACACACTATGTGCCTCAGTAGAGCAGTGATCCTGCTCTGTGACTGTCACGGTCTGTGGGATTTGCTGTGGACTTCTGTTATCTGTGTTTCGTCTTAAATTCTAGTTTCCTTTATGCCTTTTACTGCTAGGCTGCTTTTTGATTCCTGTTAGTTTCATGTTTATTTCAGCATGTCATATATTAGGTCAAGGTTAGGAGTTGTGGAGTTTAGTTACTCGTGTTTTAGACAATTCAGCTCTGATTATGCTTTAATCCCAGTCTGCTATAGAGTTTACTTCCATCTCATCCTCATGTGTCTTTTCTTGTACAGTTTGTTCAAGTTTCTTATCGATGTTCACTGCCTGTTTTATTTTGCTAGTTAATTGTCTCCTATGTCTTGTCTTTAATCAAATGCTGAAATCTCAAGGCAAACTTCAAGAAACAACAAAACCTTTATTTAGGTGAAGGATAAAAATCCAAAGAATTCATAGCAAAGTTCAAAATCTTCCTGAGCTCCAGAGGCACATTTTAAGACAAGTTGAACGGACTGAAAGCCTCGTTATACCCTGCAGTGCCTGGCAAACAGCACCATACAATAATGTTGTCATCAAACTGACATGTGCTGTCATAATCCGCCCTTACTGCCCATCGTCCGCCACAGCTGTCTTGAAGACACAAGTGCACAGTTGTGTTAGTTTTTACTGTGAATTTAATGATATATCAGTGCATATACACATTCACTTATACTGAGGGAGCTATTGCAACAGCACAATGGTGTGGTGGTTTGCACTGTTGCCTCAAAGCAAGGTCCTGGGTCAGGAGCACTCCAGCTTCTCCCATACTCCAAGACATGTAGTGCCTTGCAGTGCAATTATTATCTTGCAGTTATATACATAGTAGGTAAGTGCGGCAGAGTGGGTAACAAAACACAGCTGAACTAGACCAGGAGCCAAACTGAAAACAGGCCACAAGAGACAAATGACTATCAAAATACAACAGGAGGTAACATGACAGAGAAACTCCTAACACCTAACTCTCATGTTTTTTAACTTGCTTTTGGTTGATTTTTATCTTTATGTTTTAGCTCCTGTGAAGCACTTTGTGATTTTTATCTTGAATGGTGCTATATAGATAAGATTTTACTTGACTTTTTTACTTTACAAATACTTAACAAGATACGAGAGACTATAGGAGAATTACAAAGTAAAACACAAAGTAACACATATCACTCTAAACACAAGACTAGAAACCATAAAATAAAATAGAGGCCAAGGCAAAAGAAAATATGAACATCACAAGAAATTCATCACAGAAATGAAAACTTGAACCACCCACTAAAAATTCTAAACAAAAAAAAAAACCCCTGAACTAAATTTAACTTTAATAGTGTTACTAAAACTGTAACCAAACAGAAAATATTTAATATCAAACCCTTTAGCGTTCTGCTCAACCAATTGGTAGAGCACATTTTCAGGCCCTATCTAACTGAGGCTTTTGCTGAAATTGACCTACCATGTTGAGTCTTTTCTACCAATTGGTTTACATCTGTAATGCCAAAAAAGTCCACCAGAAGGCACTGTGAATGGAAACTGTTGGCTCTTCTTATACCCCTCCCAACCAGGAAGTCAGAAACAAAAAAACATCCAACATATTTTGAGTAGTGATGTGCGATACCACTGATTTCCTTTCCGATCTGATACCAAGTAATATTCAGGGTGGTATCGACGATACTGATCCGATACCGATACTTTGTACTAAAACTTATTTTATTTATTGTATCTCAAATTATAGCATCATAACGATTACAGGACATCAGAGTACTTGTTTCCAACAATGCTTAGTTTTAATATTACTCTTATTTCTCTTTCTGGGTCGCAAAAAAACTTTTAACATATTTTCAGGTGAGAATGTAGCCGTGTAAACTTCAAATATCTGAGCCCATCGACACATTGTTTTCAAACCCCGCAGTCTTTCGCTACTCGCTAACATGATATATAAGTCACTTTGATAACTTAAAAATGTTATTGTTTGGCTTTTTCAGTGTTTTATTTGTTGGTGAGTAAATCAGTTTGGCTGAGATTAAAGTTATTAGATTAGATTAAATGAAATTTAACTTTATTAATCCCTCAGGAGGGTTCCTCGGGGTTTTCACACAGCTGAATAAACTGATTAAACAGAAGTGTGAGACGGTGGAGAGTTTGCGCCAGCGCCCGGTTATATTTTAGACAGCAAGGAGCAGACGGCAGTTTCACTCCACCGAGGGAACTCATGACGTACTACCCGGCTTTCTTTAGACCGCGAAGGCCGGGTCCTCAGGTGGAAGCAGCCTCTGAATTTGGACACCCCCGCTGTTTCCGGACATTTAACGTATTTTATCCGATAAATAAACACTGTAAAATGTATTTATCCCCCCCCCCCAGCAGCCCTTTTGAATATCTCCCTAGTGTGGCCACAACACCTCACCTTTTTTCCACATGCATCGCAAACCACGTCTCTGTTTTTGCGGAGGTAAAATAGGTTCGCACATGACTCCAATTACGCTCAGTCATTGTTGTGAGTGTGCACGCCAAGGGCCTGCGAGACAGACAGCCTATTTCTCAAATGACTGTGAAAGGTGGAAGAGGAAGTAGTTCCTTTGAATGTAGACAATCCGAATGTTATAGTTTCTTTCCACTGTGTTTCTATTAATGATAAACTACAAATTTACCCTAAATTACTAAAATATCGATATTTTAATGTGAGAATCGATTCTAGAACATAAATGATTGGTATCGGAGGAATCGATATTTCAGGATCGATCCGCACATCACTAATTTTGAGTGTTTTTGATGAAACTAAGATAGGAAGATATAATTTTTTCTTATATGACAGTGTTAGAGGACTTACTAAACAGATGTATTTCACTTGACAGCATTAAAAAAGTGAAATTAAATGTTTAATAAATTTTTTTAAATTTACCACTAGACCCATTTTCTTTATCCATTGCTATTGATAAATCACATTAAGTGTTAGCACAGCAAGAATATGCTGAAATAATTTCCTCAGTAAGTCATTTTTGTAACTTTCTGAGTTAATATTATTAAATATTGTAAAAATCAAGACTAACATGTGGAAATCACAAATATCACAACTGATTACCTTTTAACCAAATTACAGTATCTGGTAAATTAATATTACTAAGTTCTCAAAATTATAATTTCATGTTTAACAAGTACTATATGGACGTTAAACAATTATATGGCTAAAAATCACATAGTCCTGTGGCATGATACTCATGTATACTCAGTTTTGGTCATGTATGACCAAACTGCACCGGTGGAGCTCCCCTGATGGCAGACAAAGACCTGTTGAAGAAGGGCCATGGAACCTGTTATTACAGGTCTGATGAAGGTCTGATTGTGGTGGTGGTGGTCAGAGGGCCCGGTGGCGCCAGTGTCCGGCAGCCTCGCCTCTGTCAGTGCGCCCCAGGGCGGCTGTGGCTACAATGTAGCTTGCCATCACCAGTGTGTGAATGTGTGTGTGAATGGGTGGATGACTGGTTGTGTAAAGCGCTTTGGGGTCCTTAGGGACTAGTAAAGCACTATTCAAATACAGGACATTTACCATTTTACCATGATTGCAATAAAATGGTTTGACAAGAAATGTGTTAACCTTCTAAACAATGCCTGTGGGTTCATGCCTCTTTCATTGGTCAAACGGTGGAGCAAAGAGCCCAATGCAAAGACCAATGCCCATCACTCATCCCTGTATATAATTAGCATATGGGAAGAATTAAGCTTTCTGATATGATATTACACCTGTATAAGACAAGTTATAAGTTACAAGTTAAGGAGATGGCATATTCCACTGTTCGGATACATCCTTGACTTGAATACCTGGTCTACAAGAGGGACTGTGCCCTACTGGACCAGAAACCGATGGCTCTCAAAAGGTTTCCACCTGGCTGTGTCTGAACCAAGTTAACAAGCCAGCATCTAGAGTTGGAGGACCATGATTCAGCTCTCCAAGACCACAGAATCAATGCTACACCCTAAGACCCCGACGACCAAAACCATGAGCAGGTGTGCTTGATTTGCACTGTTTTTATTTGATTTTGATTTTGCACAGTAGCATTCAATCAGAAATGGCCTGAATGGGAGTATTTTGTGCTGCAGCACATTTTTCACATTTGCAGACTAAAAAAACGATGTATTTTGTTGTTTGATATAATACTTTCCTTTGATGGAATGAAAACAGCAATGTTCACTGGCATGCTACTAGAAATAAACTGTATCCAATGCCCTGGATAGTTTTTGTTATCAATTTAATTATAATTTGGCCTTTTTTTATAATTGTATTATCTAATGTATTTGTATGACATTTCATACTTTTACCATTACGTGACATCTCAACCGTTAGAGATCAATATTTTAAAAACTACAGGGTCTATTGAAAAAATATATATATTGATTGTGGTTATTACTCACCCAAATCAATAAGAAATGCAAACAAAAAAAAATCCATTGTTTTTTCTTGGTGTTGACCTCAAAGGGTTAATTCAAAGTTAAAAACCACAAAACCCACAGTTCTGAATCAGTGTTTTAGCATCTGCATACTCGTCCTGTGTCCTACTTGTGTTCCCTGGGTGGATCTCTGGTTGCCACTTGGTTGGGCTTGCTGCCCCTTATGTAACAAAGCTCGTCCTTTGTTTTTCTTTTGTTGTCCGCTTCAGAGACCTGTGTTTGGTTTCTCTTTCACACCATTCATTAGAGTGTCTTTACTTGGTCTGGCACTTCATGGCACTTCATGGCTCAGTTGCTGTGGTCTCTAAACACTTCCACTTTCCAATAATACCACTTGTGGGATATCTCAGCGGGAGGAAATTTCACAAACTGACTTGTTGCAATGGTGGCATCCTGTTACAGTACCACACCCTAATTTAGCAAGCTCTTAAGAACAATTCATGCTTTTATAAATGTTTGCACAGGCAGAGCGCACGGCTAGGTGCTGGATTTTATATACCTAATTTCAGAGATTATGAGGCGTGACCCAGTACTGTTGCCCATAAAGTGTATATTTAAACCAGATCAGCAAAGTTTACTAATGTTGTTAATGTTGACAAGAGACCTTTGCCAAACAAAGTATTTAAATGAGGCATGCTTGTCACAGTCTGGCGGAGGCAGACTGTATGGAGTGAACAAACTAAAACAAACAACAAAAAAAAAACCTGGACATGAAACTTGGAAACATGGTGTGGAGAACGTGACGTGAACAACAGACGACCTGACAAAGAATGAACAGAAACACGCCGACTAAATACACACATGGGGAAACAGCTGACACTAGTCTGACATAATGAGACAAAGGAAGCAAATCTGACTACACTGACATAGGACACAGACTTTCAAAATAAAACAGGAGACATGAGACGCAGACATGACAATATAAACTTGACAACATAAGACACGCAGCATGAAACACATAAAGGGAGAGGGAAACTTAAATACAGGGGTAGAAAACACAAAGGGAATCTAATAAACAAATGAACTTAGCTACACTAAAGAACTTAAACATAACATCCAAATAAACTAAAACTCAAAACGCTGGGTCAACAGACCAGGAACTTGACAATGCTGGGCTGTTTTAAATCAGCAGGTTTATGAAATAAATGTTCATGTATGTGGACTGTATTTCATTCATTGAAGAATTTGACGTGTAGAGGAGTGGCATCGTGAGAGTGGACAGTCTGTCACAGCAGCTCCTGTAGTTTCCTCAGTAATTTCCCTTGTGAGATCGATAATCTGCCTGTCTGTCTGTCTCTCTTACTTTAGTTTAATGGACCTCAGGGTGTCCAGTCTCTTTCCATGACTGCCTGCCCTGACTTAGTATTTTATGCCATTATAAAATTTATTTGGATTCTAGATTTCTTCTTGCACCCTCGGTCTAGTTTAAATGTGTGGTTAAGTTGGGGGATTTAAAAAATATTACCCTGCCTGGACTTAAAGATACCTGGAATTAAACTGTATCACATGTAATGAAAAGAAAGATTTTTTCAGGAACGTAAACCCAGACCAATGCTTTTTTAAATGTGTAATATAAAAACCATAGGCTACCATCATTAAATACATGGCAAACCAAATCAATTCTGCATAACACTGTAGGTGTTCTGAGATGAGATTAGAAACCTGAACTCATGCTTCACTAAGCTTTCCTGAAGGCAGACACCTTTTCCATGCATAATATCTTTTTCATTGCTTTGCTTTGTGTCATAAAAAAGCCTCAAACATATGTGTTAATCGCTTCTGTCTTGTTGTTTTTAGTTGCATGACTGCTGTGTTTCAGCCATGAGTGCAGTTTCTTGCTTTTTTCTTCTTTTTTGCTCACAGTTGTTGTTTTCTCCTTCTGTGGGGTTTGAAAGCAGCTGACGAGTTATGACAGCTAATAACAGAATTGAAACAAGTTAGTCAAACCCCCATTACTTTAGGAGCTATATGTTACTGTATTTTTTACATTACAAAAAATAAGCACCCTCTCCTTTCCTGTAATGCATCTCACAAGGTGCTAATGTTCCCATTTGAGGCTTATTAATGATCAAGTTTGCAAAAAACAGAAATATGTTACATTTTCCAGAATGCAATCAAATGATATCTTAAATGCAAAGCTTCAAACACTTGAGGTCAGCGTGTGGGCGTGTTGGTCTTGGTGGGTGTGCACATATGTAAGAGAAAGAACAAAAGCAGAAAAAAAAATCTGCCATCCACAGAAAAGCTGAAGACAGGTGGTGAGCCTTCAGTAAGGCTGAGCTGTAGGTTTAAGTCTACGCGTGCAGCCAGGGAGCAGACATGGCCAAGTGGGATTCCTGTGGCAGCAGCCCAGCCTTCAAACAGCCACACTGGATGGTGAGATTGCAACAGATACAGAGATAAAAGAGAGAAATAGAAAGATTAATGACACAGATAGGCTGTGAGAAGAGAGTTAAAAGAAAATTGGTGTTTTATGAGCAAATGTATCTGCTTTGACTGCCGCATCTATCTGCTTCAAACAGAGAGGAAAAAACTTTTGTGACCTGCTGAGAGGTAAAACTGAAATATTTGGTATCTGTCTTTTTGAGCCTGTCTGTGATTTCCTTTTATGATTCTTCAGCAAATACCGTTCACTGGCCAGAAGCAAGAATTCAACAGACCTCCCACAAGGACTGTTCGGTCCATGTCTCAGTCATCTACGGATAGCTTCGCTTCAGGTATGGAAACATGAAAACAGACTCGCTGTGAAGTCTAATCACATGTCTCTGATATATAAACTGAGCTGTTTTTTTGATCCCAGCATCGCAAACTGAGGATTATCCTGTAGGCCAAACCTTAATTAAAGTTAAAAGTCTTCTGCAGAATTAGGTCTCATTAATTTGGTCCTAATCTGCTCCATGAGCCTTTCTCAAAAATGTCAGTCACTGCCAGAGTATGTGCAGACTTCAAAGAGATCAGAGAAAAGAATCACCTAGTTATCAACAAGATAAAGGCTGGAAAACCTGAGCCAAAGAATCATGTGTTTCTGTAATACTCCTTCATGTGTCAGCCAGATGATTTGTCTCACATAGTCTAAATTATGTGTTGCAGTGCACAGTGACACCTCTGATGATGAGTCTTCTCCTCGAGACAAGCTTCAGAAATCCACCAAAGGCCCGTCTGACTTCTGCATCAAAAACATCAGTCAGGCTGATTTTGGACGCAAAGAAATAGAAATGGCAGAGCAAGGTACGCCAGTACCAACGGCCTTCAAACCACAGTTTATGCAGAAGTTACAATATAACAGTAAAATGAATGTTACTGCCCATCTAAAGAGGCTCTGTAGAGAAATGCACAAGAGGAGGATCTAAGACTGTCCTGGTTTTTGTGTCTTGATTCTCATCTGTGATATTTAGAAATGCCAGCTCTGATGAACCTGAGGAAAAGGGCAGGTGGGGAGAAACCGCTGGCTGGAGCCAAAGTAGTGGGCTGCACACACATCACTGCACAGACAGCGGTCAGTTCAACACACACACTGCTGTCAAATAAAGAAACAAGCACTGACAGAGATTTACAAAGTGCCAAATACAGATCTGGTTTGTTTCTTTAAATAAAGAGAAGAATATCACTATTTAGATTTTATTTTATTTCTATATTGCATATTATCCACAGTGCATCATATAATTCTGCATTAGCACTACTTCAGTGTCTAGAACCGGCCTCTGTGTGTTTATGGTGTCCTGCAGGTGCTGATTGAGACTCTGGCTGCGTTGGGGGCGCAGTGTCGCTGGGCGGCTTGTAACATTTTCTCGACTCAGAATGCTGTGGCAGCTGCTCTGGTTAAAGCAGGTACAGCTTCTGCACAAGCTCCTGGTTTTACTCTTCCTCCCTCTTACTTTTTTGACCATCACACATTTTTCATGCCACTTCCCTTCTCAGGCATCTCAGTGTTTGCGTGGAGAGGAGAATCGGAGGATGAGTTCTGGTGGTGTATTGACCATTGTGTCGGCACTGAGACCTGGCAGCCCAACATGGTATGATGATCGACTCTGCTTACACGTCACATAGCTTCCCCTAGAAGTACACAGTTCTTATGGTAGTTTCATTTTGATGGAGAGAGACAGGCTAGCAACCAAAAATGAACCAGAAAAAACACAATACATACAAGTTATAAACTGATTTGCATGTCATTGAGTGAAATAAGTATTTCATAACCAAGATGAGATTTGGTACTTGGTGGAGAACCCTTTGTTGGCAAACACAGTGGTAAAGTGTTTCTTGTAGCTGGTTACCAGCTGTGTACACCACAGCACGTTTCTGTATCGTTTAAAAAGACAGGCCTGCACATGTGGCTTCTTGAACACGAGGACCATTGCAGGCACTGCAAGATTTTAGTCCATTACCCCATAGTGTGTTACCAATGGTGTTTTTGGTGAGTGTGGTTCCTACTAACTTCAGATCACTAACAAGTTCCTCCGATATAATTTTGTGATGATTCACCACCTTTTTCAATTATCTCACCTCATGAGGCAAGATCTCACGTGGAGCTCCAAACCGAGAGCAACTAGTGATCATTTTATATTTCTTCCACTTTCGAATAATCAAGCCAGCAGTTGTTGTCTTTGAACCGCGCTTCTTGCTGATGGACTTGTAGGCCATTCCAGACTTGTGCAGATACTTCTTAAGATCAGAATTATCTGTAATTGATTGATTATAATCTGTGTGCTATATGGACTCACAACCAGCATGAATTACAGCAGGGTTGTAGGGGATCATTTCACTCAGTGTGGGGTTTTTTGTTATTTTTTCTTGATCTTTTATTGATATTCGGTCTCTCTCCAGTAAAATGAAATTACCATGAAAATTAAACACTGTTCATTTATTTCTAAGTGAGCAAACTTACAAATTCAACAAGAGGTTGAATAATTATTTTCACTCACTGTATGCATAATGTGTCCTGTTTTTTTCAAAGCAGGTCTATTATGCACATTTCCAGCTCTATATCCTTAGCTATGTTTTCCTGCAGCCTCATCTGGAGTCTTAAAATAAACTTCTTTGAGCTAACTTTCTCCTAAATGTTGGCTTTCACCTGATAGCTTCATGTGCAGATTCTCTTAAGAGAGATTAATGTAATATTTAAGCATACATTTCAGGAGGAGTGTATTTGTACTCACATCCTCCGTGGTATTTCAGAAGATACTGTTCGTGTTTGAAGACTTTTTGTAGCCTCAGATCTTAAACACCATTAGTATTTCAAATATAATTAATACTTGGTAAACTGTTCCTTTACACTCAAATTTTCAACGCAATTTATTGGAATTTATTGGAATCTTAATGAATAATTATTTGAGTACATGAACCTTTGATTTTATATATTTCAGATGCATTTTATTGAAAATTATTGCTTCATGTTTATGTGGGCCAAGAACCATTTGACCTACAATTCAGTGTGTTATCTACAAATGCTTCCATGAAGGTGCCTCGAGCTTGTTTTTCTTATTATTCCCAGGTCCTCGATGACGGTGGTGACTTGACTGACTGGATCTATAAGAAGTATCCGGAACTGTTTAAGAATCTCAAAGGTGTTGTGGAGGAAAGCATCACAGGGATCTATCGGTGAGTGTAAACACGAAGCTCGAATGACTTTAAGGTTACAAAGTCAATCTGCAGCTCACGTGGGTGTTTCCGTGCCTCTGATTCAGGTTGTACCAGCTGTCAAAGGCAGGCAGACTGTCTGTTCCTGCTATGAATGTCAACGATTCGGTGACCAAACAGAAGTTTGACAACCTGTACTTCTGCAAGGAGTCTGTACTGGAAGGGTAATTAATCCTGTTGCGACTATTGGAGATTATGTATCGGAATTTCAGGAGCAGGACCACGCCTCCAAACACGCTCCTTCCGGTTGTCATCTATATAGGTTGACAAACTGTCTGTCAAACCTAAAATGAGGTCATGGGCCCAGCCAGTGAATAAACAGATAAAAACACCAGCATAGCAGCAAACTGACCATGATCAACTCTGCTTCCAGGCTGAAGCGGACCACTGACATCATGTTTGGAGGAAAGCAGGTGGTGGTGTGTGGATATGGCGAGGTTAGTGGGATATAAAGTGTTTGCCCCGTGAAATAACCCACATTTAAGCCACTCGGCCAGACTGTGTTGAATTTCTTTTTCTCGTAGGTTGGAAAAGGCTGCTGCGCTGCCCTAAAAGCACTGGGTGCTATAGTGTATGTCACAGAAGTGGATCCTATCTGTGCCCTTCAGGCCTGGTATGAATAGAAGAAGCTTTTATCAACCAAGATGTGAAGTGTTCCCTCCTCTTACGCCACACCATGAAAAAAACATGATGAAATACTGTTTTAACCCTGTCCTCTTATCCCCCACTCCACTCAGCATGGATGGCTTCAGAGTAATTAAACTGAGTGAAATAGTCAGACATATAGACATGGTCATCACCTGCACAGGTGACTGCTGTCATCCTATGATTAATACTTTTTTTTTTAAACAAAACAATCAAAATATTATTTTTAATTAATTTTTTTTTTCACCTGTTTTTTGTTTTTTTTTACTCACTGCTTCTCTGCAGGGAATAAAAATGTTGTGATGAGAGAACATCTGGACAAAATGAAGAATGGCTGCATAGTCTGCAACATGGGACACTCCAGCAGTGAGATAGATTTGGTAAAGACACATGTTGTGTGTGCGTGTATAGGCCTCTATATGTGAATGATTTGGCGTTAAACTATAGATTCCTATGTCTCAGGCTGGTCTGCGGTCTTTAGATCTGAAGTGGGTGCATGTGAGACCTCGGGTGGATCACGTCATCTGGCCTGATGGCAAGAGAATTGTCTTGCTGGCAGAGGTGAGGATACTCTGTTCTTCTAATGAGGCCCAAATCATGTAAGGACTTTAAATGTGTGACCTTAAAGTACACTGCTTATTTAGCAAGAGAAATATGCGCTCTTCTTAATGTATTATAAGGAACAGATGGATGAATCTGAGAGATTCTGAGATAAAAATAGAGAGAAATTCAGAAAAGAAAAGCAGCAATTATGATATAAAGACCAGGTGTGTATCCTCCAAAAGTAAATAATAACATCAGACAGCACAGGAAGAGCATTTGTGTACGCTGTGCTTTAAACTGGGGGCTCATACTACACTAATCATAACGTTATCCTGTTTAGTACATACAAACCACAGTTCAATTGGGATGAAATATTATTTCAAATGGTTGTAATCATAGCCGCTCTTACGTGATTTGTTTTCATTTAGTATTGACTTTCCTCTCAGGGTCGTTTGCTGAATCTGAGCTGCTCTACCGTGCCCTCATTTGTCCTCTCCATCACTGCCGCTACCCAGGTAAGAAAACAGATTTACAAAGTGGTTATTCTTTTCTAAATGCATCACAGCAGCTCTGTCAGTCATTAGGCTGCTCGCAGTCACTTTTAGTTAACGTTCGCTGTTATGTTTCAGGCCATGGCTCTCATAGAGCTGTACAATGCCCCAGAAGGAAGATACAACAAGGATGTCTACCTGCTGCCAAAGAAGATGGGCAAGTTACAATGCATTCTTCATTTTAAAAAGGACTTTTTCCCTCCCACTGTTGCCAAGTGCTTGCACATGTTGGTTGTAGGGTTTTTACCTTTTAATATAAAGTGTCTTGAGGACTGTTGTTGTATCTGGTGCTATACAATTAAAACTGAATTTAATTTAATTACTTTCTCTTTCTATCCCACAGCTGTTAATGTATCTTGTACTCGATACTAAGCTTTAGTTACTTACCATTTTGTATTGGAAATCTACATTATATAAGTGAATACCTGTAATACAGTCATTAAAAAGTTACAAAATTAAAATGCATATAAATGAATTAATAATTATGATCTAATAATATAAAGTATTGATTGTGGAAAAGTGCCATTCTACATAATGACTACATTTACTTTAGTGTTACTAGATACTTTAAATATGTTTTTTATATTATATAGCATGATAATTATTAAGCTACTTAAAGGGGATTTTATTTAATTTAAGTTAAAAAAAAAGTCTAAATACTTTTTTGCACTTTGCACTATCCAACACAAAATCAAGCTTGAAAACATTCACATAATACATTTGTAATGGGTCTCAGGGCTGCACATAAGCCTGAAAATCATATTAAATGTTTTATAGACCATTATAATTTTATTTTGTCATTAATTATTCTTTTTCCTGTTTTATCAGTATAGCCAAGAAGAAAATTAAGGTGTGATAATCTTTGTGTCTCCATATTTTCAGATGAATACGTGGCCAGCCTTCACCTGCCGATATTTGACGCACACCTCACAGAGTTGTCAGATGATCAGGCCAAGTACATGGGCATCAGCAAACACGGACCCTTCAAACCAAACTATTACAGGCATAAACTTCTCTCTCACATAGACAAACACTAACACACATTTTAACGTTTAATGTTTCTGATCTTTTTCTGTTTTTGTTGTAACAGGTATTGATGTTTTGCTCACAAAATTGACGGACAGACGATCTTCAGAAAAGCTGCTGTGAAAACAGGAGCGCTGACGCCCTCTACAGTCTGAAGCTTTACAGAGTGTATCTGAAGCAACAGCATATTACAGTTTTTTACAGATGCTAGGACACATTTCTCAATACTTAGGTCACTTTTGCAAAACTCTTCACACAATCCTCCTAACTGACCTTCAGCTTGGCAAAGCAGTTCATTTCACATTCAAAATGCACTACAACTACCAAAACACTTCATTCAGGTCTCAAATAAACTCATTCTTCCAGAACACTAGCAAAGGTTGACAGCCGACAAACACACTTTGTCACCCACAAAACAATGACCTAAAAAACACTAACAACATGTAGCATTACAGTGTTTTCTTGTGTAAAACAAGGACACATCTCTGTTTATAATTTCAATATATGTTACTGGAATGAATCAGACATCATGCAGAATTCGTTAATATTTGTTTCTGTATTTTTTTTTTTTTTGCACTAAGTAATCCCAAAATACAAGAATTTGTATACACACCATCCACTGATACACATACAATAGTAATGCTATTCTACTCGGTCTTCTCCATTTGGCCACAGGTTCTCATCCACATCACATCTCATGTCATCTTGGGCAACACACGTAGGAAAGAATCTTCTGGCTGCCAGAATTGAAGGAGTTGAAAAATTGAAGGAGTAACACCTGTGTAGATGTTCATCTACAATGAGAATCAGCTGTGGCTGGTTAAACTGCATTTTTAGATTTACAGTTTTTCTCAGTCGCTTTGGTGCGTTTCTCAGATCAGAATTGAAATTCTCATAACTATTAGTTCAACCTCCACAACACTCAGTCATTTGTGCACATCATAGTAGCAATTTCTCCTCTCTCTGAACAAACTGCAAATGATTTTGGACATGAATCAGTTGCTTCCATACATTTCCCTGCTGCTTTCTGACATTTCCATTTGCTTATGTCATGTCAGTCAAAAGTAATCATACCTATGGATGCTGAATAGTCGTTCCCAATAAAACTAATAGTCATACATCCATTGCTTAAGTCATCACACACAAAATTGTTGAATTAGTTATCACATGCCAAATATTGGCCATCTGTCAAGCAAATCCTATACCTTTCTGTATCATTTTTCCTGGAAATGTCTCCGAAATTGAACAATTGATCTCAGGTAAATTACAGCTGTCACTCATGAGGAGGCTCTACCAAATTGGTGATTTTATGTTTACATGTATTCTACAGTGAACAAGTGACTGTAGCATATTTTTCTTTTGCACAATTCTGTAGGATTACAAACACTTCTACACAATGGAAATGTGAAACGTACGTATTCAGTGTCTCAGTTACTCCCAAGACTCCCATAACATCTACAGTGACTTTACTGCACATTTCAGATGGCTGTACAGGTAGGCCATAGTGCTGTCGTCAGCATTTTCAGGTGTCACCAATTGTTTTTGCAATGGGAAACACTGAAATTATAAACTGTCATAGTGGAAACATGACAATGCCATTTGACTATCTTGTTCATAAAGATGGTGTCAAGACTTTTCATTTTGATGGCACTGACAGTTTCATTGACATGGATACTTGCTTTTGAGGTATGGATAATCAATTCTGTGCATGTGACGTGCTTTTGCAGGCTATCCACTAGGTTTTGCAGTTTGCACTAATTGTTTTGGGAAATGCACTAACTGCTGTGCAAATGTTAATGGTGTTCTGAGAAACGCGCCAAAGCGACTGAGAAAAACTGTAAAATATGTTTCAATAAAATATTGCTGTTGCATTTTGCTGTCTTTTCAAGTTTTGCATTGTGTTATTGTTTTGGCCATGAGTTTAACAGTTTTGAAAACAGTATGTAAGCACATGCAAAATGTCCTGTACGTACAAAGATTTTTGGCAGTTGTTGTGTCTGAGTGAGAAAATAATTCATGAAATTTGAGAGATGTAGTCATTGAATGCATTTTGTGCCAAAACAATGATAACTGGTCCTCAGTTTAGCCCACATAGACTTCTGTTGTGCTCACTGTGTGAGGAGTTTTGCAAACGTGACCTAAGTATTGAGAAATGTGTCCTAGCGTCTGTAAAAAACTGTAAGACTGACTTTTCTGTATTCCTATGTATTGTACACTGTTCCAGATTTTCACATTGTCCACAGTAACCAGAATTTAATCAGTATGATGTCTTAATTCAAGAGGGAGGAAATGAAAAACTGTTCTGAATGGGACGGAGTTGCTTTTCTATCAGCTGAATGGAGTACCTGAAAACGTACTCTTGTCACATCACCTAAAACCCCCATCCTTTTCTAACATTTAGATAAATTAATTTTAACTAACAGGCAAGTTGTTAGACTTTTGTACATATAAATATAAAATAATTATTATAATAAAAAATACATTTTACTCTTTCTGCATTTCTGCTTTATAACTTGAAAACACCAAAACCACCAATGAACTTTCTAACTTATAAACCATAGAACAACTTAATGAACACTATTTGACTTATTTGTATTGATAGATACGGTTGCAATTGTGTACAACCTTGTATATTCAGGTCTACTTCTGGTTTCCAAGAATTAAAATATATAGTAAATGGGCTGGTTCTGCCTCATTCACAAAAGCCATGTTTCCCCTTCACGCTAGTGCTTTCTGTTTAACATTCACACACCAAAAAAATGCATCTGAGAGCAACTTGGGGTTCACACTTTAGTTGCCAGGGATTGCACTACCAGCTTAACAATTTAGCCAGAGCTTGACAAAGACTGTGCACTGTGAGTTTCACCCACTAGGAGGAGGAATAGTAACATTATCGTTTGGTAAGCTGTGGTCCTAATTGCTTGTATGTGTGTTGTGTGGTGTTAGTTCAGCAAGCATTACACACACACGCAGGTAGGAACAGAGGATTACCGGAGTTGACTCCTTTCTTTATTTTTCTTTTTTCTTCTTCAAAACCACAACCAGAACAACATACTCACTAGCGCCCTCTAGCGCTTCTGGTAAATGCATCTACAGAACAAATGCAATAGTATGTGTGGACACAACAATGTGTCACTGTCAGAGCCTTCAGTGCTGCTATCCTTGTATGGAGTATCTGAAACCTGTGTGTGTGTGTGTGTGTGTGTGTGTGTGTGTGTGTGTGTGTGTGTGTGTGTGTGTGTGTGTGTGTGTGTGTGTGTGTGTGTGTGTTAATACTGTGCTTTGGGGACATGAAGCCACACAGTCACAATATGTGGGCTACCTCCATTGTGAGGTCAATAAGTCCCCATAACATATATCACCAAATTTTAAGGTGAAGGCTTTGCTAAAGGTTAGGGTAAAAGTGCAGTACTGTAACTTGATGGAATGTATTACTACATTCAGTAATTACCTTAAAGTTGCATTTATGTTGTTACTTGTGCCACAAAGATTCTTCAGATATCTGCACGCCAGGTCGATAGAAAAAAAATCATAAAGCAAACATGCATTTTTTTTTCCTGCACGGTTGCACTGCACTCAGATGCTTTCATTTCGTATGCTGGAGGAGGAAAATTGTGGCGCAGTACAGAGACACAGCTTTTCAGGAGCAGAAATATAGACAGCACTTTTATTTTTATTCCAGAAAAGGGACAAAAGTGTGATGGTAACGGGCAAACTGTTGCCAGGACAGAAACAATCACAATAAGTTCAAACAAAAGTAACGATTTTTTTAATCTTTACTTTTGTTGTCACACCTTCACGTTCATATGTAGATACTAAAAGAAAGATTGTACGTGTGTCTTCATTAGGATAGGGATTCATGTTGGTATTAGTGTGTGGGACTGTAGCCTAAAGTTTTATATTGTTACGTGATAGTTATGAGACATTGCATTTGAGGTCATTTTATGGAGTAATGAGAAAGTACTGTAGTGAGTAGTGTAACAATTTACTTAGTACTTGGGAAACATGGGAAACATAGAAACCCCAACAATTAGACCCCATATGAGCACTTTGGCTTGCTAATATAAAGCCCCCAGCAGCCCTGACTTATTGCAACATAACTAAGGGAGGATTCAGTGTCACCCTAACTATATGCTTTATTAAAAAGGAAAGTTTTAAGATTAATCTTAAAAGTAGAGAGGGTGTATTTCTCCAAAATCCAAATTGGAAGCTGGTTTTCATAGAAAAGGGGCCTGAAAGTTGAAGGCTCTGCCTCCCATTCCCACAGGTGTAGACCTAGAGGAAATAACGAATGGGAGATGTAAACATTTGCACTGCCATTTACAAAAGCCTTTGTTGGAAGATAAAACGCAAATATTTACTGTAGACTGTCTTAAAGTTGGGTTATGTTGCTTTCCAGCAAAATTAGAAGCATTGCTGGAAAGGTTAATGGTAAATGGACTTGTTCTTATATAGCATATTTAACTATAAATAAACTATATGTAGTTTGTTGCTCAATCTGTCCTGTAATTATAACACATAAAAATTTTGTTGCTTTGCAGATTTTTTTTAATGTGGATTCATTGTAAAAAATACAAATTTCTTTAATAGATTGTGTAAAAACAAAACCTTTTCTGTCATTTTATTGTTTATCTATTAGTTAATAAATTTTGTGTGGTATGAATAGCCACGGGGGAGGCCTTTTTCAGTATGAAAATAACATTTATAAAAGCACCGGTAAAATATTTGACACCCCTGTGTTAGGCGTAAACTAATACAATATGAGGTTGCATGAATTTAAATTTAAATTAATCGGCTGAATCAGAAAACCAATAAATACACTATTTGGTTCTGTTATTAAAGTTCTGGGGAGTTAGATGGGTTAACAACCTCTTTCCCTGAGATAATTTGAGGCAGTCAAAATAATTTTGTACTGACATCATTCGCTCTACATGTGTTCCTCGCAGACACTACGTAATTAACTGTATATCCAGAAAATCCAGCTGGTCATATGACAGTGATTATCTGTTTTCCTCAAGTGTCTGCCTCTGGTCATGTAGTCCTAAAAATACCCCCAGTCCCTGGATTATTGTAATCCAGTCTTCCTCTTTGTACGCGTGTGTGTTTATAGTGCATGGCCTCTATACTTCTTTAACTATATAATACGATTCTTTATGGCAGCAGACTAAAGCTCACAATGCTGCATCTAATACTCTGATAACGTAACAATAAAATTTACCCGAAAAACAAGTTTTGCTTCCAAATCCCAGCTTTTCTTTGACTTCCTCAAGCATTTTTTGGTTGTTTGTATTGTGAGATAATCTCAAATGAATCAACACTTACCATCCTGTTGAGATTAAAACACTTTTATTGTAACAGAGGAGCTGCACAGTGATGTACAACGGAAAGAAGCAGTTGAGACAACAGCTATTAAACTGCCATTAGCGCGTGTGATTAATGAGGAGATCCTTCCATAACTTCCACACCCAATCTAATCTAATGATACCACTCATTCTGTTGTATTACCAGACTCTCGAAATCAGAGGGGGGTTAGTATGTGTGTGAAAGAGGGGTGTGTGTCCTAGGGCAGAGCTGCTGATAATCCATTGGCTGGTGATGCATCTGCAGAAGACAGATGGTCAGTGCAGCCTATGCTGTTGGATGTGGTAAGCTGAGTTTGTAAGCAGTTTTAGCAACCAGGAAGTTGTGTATCAGGATTTCATTCCTCTGTGTGTGTGTGTGTGTGTGTGTGTGTGTGTGTGTGTGTGTGTGTGTGTGTGTGTGTGTGTGTGTGTGTGTGTGTGTGTGTGTGTGTATCATTGTGTCCTCCCACTAAGGGATTCTCCCTAAAGAGCTTTGATGCCTTCCCTGCATCACTGCACGGTCTAATCACTCGTACCAGCTGTCAGCATGTCGGCCTCCCTCTTTCCTCTCTCTTCTGGCACCACTTAACCTCAGGTCCTCTGCAGTCGGCCATAATGGACTCTCACGGCATTCGGACTGAAACATGATGAACATACATCAGCCGCTCATTGCTCCGGCGGTGCTGCACAGATGAAGCCCTGCCAGCTATATGTTTTGTCCTTTTATGAATGCGCTGTACTTCAGTATAACCTTAAGCTACTTTATGGACGTGTTAAATTAAGAACACAGATTTTTCACTTTTCTCCACATCACTCTTAAACCATGTGTTCTTCCTAGTTTTGACTTCATTTTTATTCAAATTCAGGTGTTTAGCTAAATCATTTTTGTACATCTGCATACTTACGTTATAGAAACACTGAAATCTACATAATACGTTTAATGATGGAAACATTTAAAGACAAATTTCATTTCGTAACAGATTTTAGATACATTTTATTGGAATTTTCCAAGCTGTAAAACACCTGTTTTATGTTTTGGACGTTTATTTAACTGTTTAAACATACTATCTCTACATAAAGGTTCGATTATTACTTGGAAGTCTCCCAAAAAATCATAATTTCAGAAATATAAACTCTTTATTTTAACATGTAGAGGTCTCAAAAAGTGTACATATCAAACGTCACTATCACTATGTGCACTGTATGTTAAACTGCAGATTGTAAGCATCACCTTTTGTCTCTTTAACTTCCCGAAAGTAGAACTGAGGATTTTATTGCAAGCCCTCAAAGATAGTTACAACCCTGTGAATGTAACAAATGCATCTAGCCTCAGTTTAACATCATTTTGCACCGCTTCACTTCAGTTCTTTCCTGACTGAGAAAGATCTGGTTGCACCATCAGCACAGCTTCTGTATCTGCTGCTGCTGTTAGCAGATTTGCAGCTACAGCTATTTACAGCTGCTCCTTTCAGACAAACGAGCACTACTGATTTCTCAATCAGGGCAAATGATTGTCAGTTCAAAGCTTAATGGTCTGCACATGGATTATTGTCTCATGGCCTGATAATCAAAGTGTCCTTTGGTTCGTACTTTGAGTGTTTAAGGCCTGAGATTACAGAAGAGTTAGATATTGTGATCGACAAACCGCGTTCAAGAAAACTCTGAGAAGCATCGCAGCTTCAGGAGGTTTAGAGACAGACTGGGTGGACTTCAGAAGTGTTTGTCCTTGTGTCTTGTTCCTTCCAAATATTGGAAATTTTCTCCACCCTTGCAGATTTCTAAAGTGTTCTGAGACTGCAAGAACGCTCAGGGGGGGATCATCAGTTTTAACCCCATGCTGCTCCGCCTGCAGTCACTCACACAAGCGACACCTGAACCTGCTGACCTTTTTTGACACCAGGATTTTTAAAAAAAAAAGGTTATGGCCCTTTTCCAAGCACCTTGTCCTGCAGTGAGTCCCCTTGTGGAGGGTGAATGGGCAAAAGCTCTCAGTCAGTTGTTGGCAAGTCTAGAACCACCGGATCCTTCCAACTCACCAGAGTGAGTTCTACCATTGCCAAACACTGTGGGAGAGTGCACCGGTAACCACCACCAGATCTGTTACATGGAGCAGCATCTCAGAGATAAAGCCTCCATGGCAACCAGCGACATCTGAGATAGACGACCCAATCGATGAGATCCACAGTTCAACCTCCCCATCCCTCCCTCTCCTCTCTCTGTGGTTCTCACTGTTGCACAAAGATAGTACACAGGAGGCATTAGAAAAAAGTTTGGATTCCTTTAATCTGAAAAGCTGCACGTCTGTCTCATCCTATATTGGCACCACACATGATTGCTCAAAAGAGGAGAAACAAAGCAAAAATGTGCTAGTGCCAAAATGGGCAAAGAAGACTTGGCGTGAGGTCGAGAGTAGATCCATCAATCACAAACTTCAGAATCAGAATGAGGACACCAATGTAGGCTGTGTGGTTCTGTCTCTACTCTGTTTATGGCCCTATGGTAATTCACTGATAGTGTGCTGTGACAGTGAATTCTACCAGTGCCATACACAGAACAGGAGGAGAAGGAAGTGAAGTCTGACTATTCTGCAATAGAGCAACAGCACAAGTGTGAATCCTGAGTCCTGTGTCTTTTCTGCGAAGCTACCACTAACCTTTTGAAGTTTTGTGTTTTGGTGCCAGTGGTTTTGCAGTCACATGCAGAGTCTGTATCAGAATCAGTAGTGTCCTTCCCTCATCTCTGTTTTGTTTATAGCTCACAGGATAGTGAGTAAATCCAGCTATGCCATCTGCTGCTGGGCTACTGGATCGGACTGTTTATCCCAGTTCACCCACTGTCTTTGAGCTCTAAATGTTAGCACTGGGTAGCTGGGGTGGGGGGGAGGTCTTGGCACTGCATTTATGGCCTCCATGAGAGCCTTCCTGAACACGGTCTGAAGGTCTGCTGTTCGAATTGATTCTGGCTGTAGGGAATGATGTGCTAAGTGATTTTTGAGATGCTTTCAATGGGTCCCAAAGCAGGGCTCATATTCCCGTTTCCGGGAGAGATCGATACTGTAAAAAGCTTGAGTGAGAGAGAGAGAGAGACAGAGAGAGACAGAGAGAGAGAGAGAGATCAAAACATCCGAAGTTACTCTGTTTAGCTGGTTGTTTTTAGTTTGTATCTCACAACTGAACAATAATAATTATTAGGTCACACATTTCCAAAAAAACTGATTTTCTATAAATGGAATAAAATGCATTCATGTTTTTATAATCAGACCACAGTGAAAGCTAAGTCCACTGAGCCTTGTGTTATAACTGTGTCTTTATGCAAAATTCTCACATCTTTACATCATGAAATTTGCAGTAATCTGGAGGGAAAAATCATTAAGTTGTCATTTTCAACTTGACTACAGACCATAGTTCCCCGTTTTGTTTTGTTTTTAAATTTCACTCTGCCTATTAAAGTCCTGCGCCGGACATTGCTCCTTACCTTGATCATGTAGTATCCTTATAGCGCTCAAAACCCCATCAGTTAGAAAAACTGAAGAAGCTTCTTCGCTGAACCCACCCTTCAAACAATCCAGGAGTAAAATATTTTCAAAATATTTTTAAACTGTAATGAAGGTGACAAAATTTCCCGACTGGGCAGCATGTGATGGACTTTTTTTGTACTTCTTCAGCCTTCAGAGTCCAAACAGGATCAGATTATTCTCCTGGGCTCCACGTCTCCCTCCCTCGCGGATACTTGCTGGTTTGGGGCAGCAGAGGATTTTCTAGTGGACAGGTAATTAGTTGGTAAGCATCTTAACTCAGTGGCAGTATAGTAATCCATTATGCCCTCCTCCCTTTCCTTCTGCCGCCTTCACACGCAGGTCTACGGAAAATTTCCCCTGCGCCCTTTACGCACTGGACGCGCACTGCAGTGGGAATGATGAGGTCAAGCAGGACTAGTAATCCAACACTGCCCATATTTACTTTAACAAAATATGTGTTGTGGTTAAAAAAAACAAACCACAGAGGAACAAAAGCTTCGTTGTGTAATTAATATATAAAGCAAACAAGAAAAACGAGTATTTTTTTGGCTCTTATTTACCTTCTAGTGTCCGATAAAACTCCAACCGTCGTAATATCTGCAATCAGACCTACCAGCATCCAGCGGGTGTGGCTCACCGCCGCAGCCAGGCCTCAAGTTCCGCGCTCTCATCCCTGCACAGGTCCGAAAGTGTCTCCTAACCTAGGCCTCCTCTACTCCTTGTTTTATACCAGCACGCAGATGTCCCTCCAGAGCTCATTTACCTGCTGTCGGTGATTATTAGACAGATTGCAAGTGGAAAAAGTGTCATCATCCTTTCAGCTGACGCGAGTCCACTGGAGTGGGATAAGACAGGTTTGGGTTACGGCTCTGTCAAAGTTGAGGCTGAAATCCACCCGTGCGCCCTTTGTCCTCTCCATACATTATGAAGGATGCCCAGCCGGTCAGCAGCATCTCCTCCTTCTCCTTCTCCCCCTGCTGCTCAGATTACCCTGAACTAACTAACCAAACTTTACTACTTTACTGTTATAATTACCTGCTCCCCCCGCCCCTTTTAGCAACATTTGCAAACCGGGATTACGAACAGAAGGATCAGTTTAGTCAAATTTGCGAAATTCATCCCCCAGAATCGAGGACCAGAATTGAATAGTTCATCAAACTATTCATTTTTGTTTATTGTTGGTTTGTTCATTTGTTTATGTAACACATTTCAATAGAAAATAAATTCATAACAAAATAACCTGCGTAATACTGCGTGTGGTAAAGCGCCCAAACTAAACCGATGTAGGAACTGGAAACCAGAATGAGCTCAGAAGCGAGCTACTTGTCCGAAAACCGATGAATATTTCATAGGATCCTTATACGTTCGGCCTTAGTCTTCAGAGCATCTCCTCAACACACACACGGACCATCTTCGGGTATTTGTTTTCGTCTTTAATTTGAAAATCTTAAAATGATCGGATTAAAAAGAATACCTCCAAGTTTGTAGTTTTTCAGGCTCAATGTGTATATATGATGAGGTATTTTAGCCGAATTCCCGGGATAATGGTTAAGATCAAAACTGTTTATCTGCCAAAAAAACAAAAAAAACAACAACAAACAAACACTTTCTCAAGCTTCACCTTATACAAGCAGTAGACACAGGAGTTAATAACTCCCTGAACCTGAAGCATCGAAAAGGAAATCAACCATCAATGACATAGAACATGAATAAAATATAAAAACGGAACATATATTTATATATATACATGCAGAGGCATTTTAATAGCTTTCGTCATACTTACCCGTTTAAAGAATAAACCTCCAAAGTTACGATAAAAAGAATAAAAAAGAATTCTTTTTGTGCTCTTTTGTGAAGACACGTCAACGTTTACTGCCATCCAGTGGACACAGGAGGGACACACGCTATAATGGTTATTCTGTGTGAGACGTTTCCTCCAAAATAAGACCATTTTTATTAAACCTCAAGACTTTACAGAACATCAAGAATTAAAATTTATATAGTAGGGATAACACAGGAGTGACAGAGTGCATATTGGGTCAGCTCATGTTTCTGATAACAGCACAGGTGTGAATGATCACCTCTCTTTTAGAAAACAGTGTCAATCCCAGGATTGGAATAAACTGGAATAAACTTCTGACGCTGAGCTTCATTCATGACAGCCAGCATTTTCAGTATTGTGATGAGTTCGCTGATGCAACTCCATCATCTCCTCCCTGTTTCACTGCAGAGGCTGTACGGAATTTCTCTCTTGCTGATTTTCACTGATAATCCTTGTGCCAAGTCTGAAATACTCACCTGTTATTCCAAGCCAGACTGTGGCTCTTTTTATCAACACCTAGTGATTATTTTTACAACTGAACTTCACTGTAAAACAGATAACTTCATATTCAAAATCTTTTAGAGATGGATATAACTACCAAAAATGGCACATGCAACTTTTACTCTTTTTTTGATGAAGTCCCTTCGCAATTGAAAAATGAAGATGAGGAAAATATAACTGTTTTAGCTGCATGTGACACTATCCACTCTGCCATAGCTCGGCTACAGACTCAGCACCCGAGTGCCTTTATTGTGATCTCGGGTGACTTCAACCATGTATCACTGGACAATACACTACCAACATTCAAACAATATGTGGACTGTCCCACCAGGGGAGAGAAAACTTTAGACTTACTGTATGCTAACGTCAAGGATGCATACAGCTCCTCCTCCCTCCCCCCACTTGGTAGGTCAGATCATAACCTGATTCACCTCACCCCCCGCTATGTGCCAATTGTGAGGAGGGAACCTGTGACCACCAGGACTGTTAGGAGGTGGTCAGAGGAGGCAATAGCGGAACTACAGGGCTGTTTCGAGGTGACCGACTGGGAAACACTCTGTGAGCCTCACGCCGAGGACATCAATGGGCTTACTGAGTGTATCACAGACTACATAACTTTCTGCACCGACTCCATTGTTCCAGCTCAGACTGTTCATTGTTACCCAAATAACAAGCCGTGGGTGACTAAGGACATCAAAGCCCTCCTCAACAAGAAGAAGAGGGCTTTCAGAGGGGGCAACAAAGAGGAGGTGAGGAAGGTCCAGGTGTTACTAAAGGACAAGATCAGAGAGGCTAAGGACAATTACAGGAGGAAGCTGGAGTGGAAACTCCAGCAGAACAGCATGAGAGAGGTGTGGAGGGGCATGAAGACCATCACTGGATTCAGGCCAACCAACAGCAGGGGAGCTGAGGGAGGTGAGAATAGAGCCGACGAGTTGAATCTGTTTTTCAATAGATTCGACACCACAGTGTCTGCTCCCACCCCCACAACCTCACCTGCAGTCAGCCTGGAATCCAGAGCCACACCACTGTGCCAGCCTCTCGCTTCACATGTTGCCTCCTGTGAGATTCCTGACACCCCTCCCCCACCCATCACCTTCACTCAATACCAGGTTGAGATGCAAATGAGGAGACTTCACTCAGGCAAGTCTGCTGGACCAGACGGAGTGAGTCCCCTTGTCCTCAAGGCCTGTGCCCCCCAGCTGTGTGGAGTCTTTCATAAACTGTTTATGCTGAGTCTGAGTCTGCAGAGGGTCCCGGTGATGTGGAAGACATCATGCCTCGTCCCTGTACCAAAGACGCCTCATCCCAGTGGCCCCCAGGATTACAGGCCCGTGGCACTGACCTCCCACGTCATGAAGACCCTGGAAAGGCTCATCCTGGACCAGCTGCGACCCATAGTAAGACCACATCTGGATCCCCTTCAGTTCGCTTATCAGCCTCGTCTCGGAACAGAGGACGCCATCATCTACCTGCTCAATCGTGTCTACACCCATCTGGACCAGCCGGCGAGCACTGTGAGGGTCATGTTTTTTGACTTTTCCAGTGCTTTCAACACCATCAGGCCAACCCTCCTGGGTGATAAGTTAGCAGCGATGCAGGTGGATGCTTCTCTGGTGTCCTGGATTGTTGATTACCTGACAGGAAGACCACAATATGTACGTCTCCCACAGTGTGTGTCTGACAAGGTGATTAGCAACACAGGGGCACCACAGGGGACTGTCCTCTCCCCCTTCCTCTTCACCCTCTACACCACAGGCTTCAGCCACTGCACAGAGACCTCAATCTTCAGAAGTTTTCTGATGACTCTGCGGTGGTTGGATGCATCAGCAGGGATGATGAGACAGAGTACCGGGCTGTGGTCGACTCCTTTGTCACGTGGTGTGAGCAGAATCATCTGCAGCTCAACGTGGCAAAGACCAAGGAACTGATCGTGGACTTCAGGAAGACCAGGAAACACTTGACCCCTGTTTCAATCCAGGGGGTCAGTGTTGACATTGTGGAGGACTATAAATACCTTGGAGTACACATTGACAATAAACTGGACTGGGCTAAAAACACCACAGCACTTTACAGGAAGGGCCAGAGTCGTCTCTATTTTTTGAGGCGACTGAGGTCCTTCAACATCTGCCAGAAAATGCTGAGGATTTTCTATGAGTCTGTGGTGGCCAGTGCGATCCTCTATGCTGTTGCATGCTGGGGGAGCAGGCTGAGGGTCGCAGATGCCAACAGACTTAATAAACTGATCCGTAAGGCCAGCAATGTTGTGGGGATGGAGCTGGACTCCCTCAAGGTGGTGTCGGAGAGGAGGATGCTGTCCAAGATAAAGACAATGTTGGATAACACCTCCCACCCACTCCATGACATGTTGGTCAGTCACAGGAGCTCGTTCAGTGAGAGACTGAGATTACCGAAAAGCACCACTGAACGACACAGGAAATCTTTCCTGCCTGTGGCCATCTCCCTGTACAACGCATCCACTTAACACACTGTTTGCTGCTACAACTACACATGTTTCTTTTCCAAATATTTATTTATAAGTGACTTATGTATGTATGTATGTATATATATGTATATATTGTACTATTCTTAGTTAGCGTATTGTCTGTCTTGTCTTAATGTTGGTTTAAAATGGAGCACTGTAACAAAAAATAATTTCCCCCAGGGATCAATAAAGTATTCTGATTCTGATTCTGATTCTGAGTCAACAGGACAGTACTAACAGGGATGCAGGGTTGTAATTACAGATAGCACTTTTCAGCCCAGATCCTAGGTCACCAATAGGTGGAGTGCGGTCCGGATTAGGACACAGATCTACAACTACATTTTCGAAGGACAGTTTCTATTTTACTTTGCGCAACTTTTCTCGTACTTA